GATTGACCAAATGTGTATACAACAAAGGTTTTTAACACCAACCCGATACGTTTGGTAATTTCATCTTCATAATACTGGTCTATCTATTAAACCGGACCGGTATAACTACCGGATTTTCTTCATAACACTGGTGATTTAGTCAAACCAGACCGGGTCAATGACCACCGGTTTATAATTGATCATGTGCCAACAACTGGTGGTTGGAAAGCAAGCCGGGTCAAGGACGCCGGTTTATCAAAAAAAATACTTATGATTACCAACAAACAAAATTCAAATAGAAAAATAAACGAGGCTTTTTACGAGCTGCCAGGCTCCAAATCGAGGCTTTTCATGGGCTGCCAGGCCTCTGAGTTAAACCATTTAACAAAGCCTTTTAAGATGGGCCTCCAGCTAACCAATCATCGTTTTAACTGTGACAAGTTCAGGGTCTGTGAAAGATTGACTTGCCACACGTTCGATGGGTCATGCCAGGATTACCTGGATAGGAGTGGCTTACTTGATGAAGGTGGGTTAACCTGGGGTTTTAGGTGAATACACCAGGCTTCCAACCCGTGGCTTGATAGCCAGTTACAAGGGTCCTTTCAAACTCTTTGTTGCTTTGCAAAAAAGAGCCCCCAAGTAACTTTGTGAGCGATGCTCAGTGTGTGCCTATGTTTGAGTTTATACTGTGTACAATACTCTCTTTGGCTCAACAGATTTTTCCTTGTGCGGCTGAAATGCCTATCAAGAGGTGTAGCTGTGGTTCAAGCATGACCAAGCCCCCTAGTGATTTTCTTTATCTTTATGCAGCTGCTAAAACCGGTTAAACAAAGGCTCAGCTTTGACCATTAACTTGGAAAAGCACACACATGATATAAGAAAGAACAGATACCCCACTTATAATGGAGGCTCCGGTTTATTATATGGTATATACACTATCATAAATATGTACAGGTGAAGAGCCTATGGCTTCAAGTATAGTAAGGCCGAAGGAGAGCTATGTTCCATGGACGCTTTGTCTCCTCCTCCGATTGACGTGAGTCTTCATGCTCTCGAACATCAATGAGGTAGTAGGATCCGTTGTGCAGATTTTTGCTGACCACAAAGGGTCCTTCCCAAGGGGGGGACAACTTGTGCATATCAGTCTGATCATGGATGAGCCGGAGCACCAAATCACCTTCTTGAAAGATTCTGGTTTTAACCCGGCGGCTGTGATAACGTCGAAGATCTTATTGATAAATCGCCGAACGCGCTGCTGCAAGATCCCGCTCTTCATCCAACAGGTCCAGAGAATCCTGACATGCCTTCTCATTATCAGCTTCAACATAAGCTGCCACACGGGGCGAATCGTGACGGATGTCACTAGGAAGAACCGCCTCTGCTCCATAAACCATGAATAAAGGCGTGTAACCCGTAGACCTATTGGGTGTGGTGTTGATGCTCCATAACACAGAAGGTAGCTCCTCGACCCAACAACCCGGCATCCGCTTTAAGGGAACCATAAGCCTTGGTTTGATACCCCGTAGAGTTTCTTGATTCGCCCTTTCCGCTTGACCATTAGATTGGGGGTGAGCCACTGATGCTAGATCAAGCCGGATGTGCTCACGTTGACATAATTCTTCCATCTCTACTTTTGACAAGTTAGTGCCATTATCTGTTATAATGCTATGTGGAAAGCCAAACCGGAATATCACCTTTTTGATGAATTGAACCGCCGTGGCTGCATCACACTTGCTGACTGGCTCTGCCTCTACCCATTTAGTGAATTTATCAACTGCTACTAACAGATGGGTCTTCTTGTCCTTGGAGCGCTTGAAGGGCCCAACCATATCCAGCCCCCAAGTGGCAAACGGCCACGTAATTGGAATCATCCGCAACTCTTGAGCCGGAACGTGCGCACGGCGGGCAAACTTTTGACATCCATCACATCTTTTGACTAAATCCTCCGCATCAGCATGCACCGTCAACCAGTAAAAACCGTGGCGAAAAGCTTTAGCAACCAACGACTTTGAACCAGCGTGGTGACCGCAATCCCCTTCATGAATTTCTCGCAAAATCTCACAACCTTCTTGAGGAGAAACGCATCATTGAATTGCTCCTGAAACACTATAACAATGTAACTCCCCGTTGAGTATGGTCATGGACTTGGAACGCCAGATTATCTATCGAGCCAACGTTTCCTCAGCTGGTAACTCGCCTCGGTTCATGTAATCCAGATATGGGATCGTCCAATCCGGTATGGCATGCAGAGCTGCCACCAACTAAGCCTCCGGATCAGGAATAGCCAAATCTTCTTCGGTTGGTATTTTGACTGACGGATTGTGCAATACATCAAGAAAGACATTGGGCGAAACCGGGTTATGTTGGGAACCAAGACGACTTAAAGCGTCCACCGCTTCATTCTTCCGCCGGTCTATATGGTCCACCTGATAACCTTTAAAGTGACCAGCCACTGCGTCCACCTCTCGCCGATATGCAGCCATGAGTGGGTCCTTAGAATCCCAGGTGCTAGACACTTGCTGAGCCACTAGATCTGAATCGATGAAGCACTTAACCCGGCTCAAATTCATCTCTTTAGCCATCCGAAGACCGTGGAGTAAAGCCTCATATTCAGCTGCATTGTTAGTACAAGGGAACATTAAACGGAGGACATAACAAAGCTTATCACCTCGTGGGGAAGTTAATACGACTCCAGCCCCCGAACCCTCTAGCTGTCTGGACCCATCAAAATGAATAGTCCAATATGTATTATCTGGTTTCTCCTCAGGTGCCTGTAACTCCGTCCAATCGTTGATGAAATCTACGAGTGCCTGGGACTTGATCGCCGTGTGGGGTATATATTTGAGCCCGTGGGGTCCAAGCTCAATGGCCCACTTGGCAATCCGGCCAGTTGCCTTTCTGTTTTGAATGATGTCGCCCAAAGGAACTGAACTGACCACTGTGATAGGATGGCCCTGAAAATAGTGTTTGAGCTTCTGGCTTGCCATAAACACCTCATACACCAGTTTCTGCCAATGCGGATACCTCTGCTTTGACTCAATGAGTACCTCACTGATATAATAAACCGGCCGTTAAACCGGATACTCTTTGCCAGGCTCCTTGCGCTCTACCACAATGGCTACGCTGACAGCCCGGGCATTAGCAGCTACATATAATAATAATGGCTCTTTAATGATCGATGCTGCCAGCACGGGCGGTTCCATGAGCTGCCTCTTCAGATCTTCAAACGCCTTATCAGCTGCCTCACTCCAGACAAAGTTATCCATTTTCTTGAGCATCTGATATAAGGGGATGGCCTTCTCTCCAAGGCGGCTGATAAACCGGCTCAAGGCTGTAATCCGGCCGGCTAGACGTTGCGCATCGTTAATACACGCCGGTTTAGCCAAGGACGTAATCGCTGCAATCATTTTCGGATTAGCCTCAATGCCTCTGTTTGAAACCAGAAAGCCTAAGAGCTTGCCTGTCGGGACACCGAAAACACACTTCTCCGGATTGAGCATCATCTTGTAAACCCGAAGATTGTCAAAGGTTTCCCGTAGATCATCTATCAAAGTCTCCTCCTTTCTGGATTTGACCATAATATCATCTACATACGCATGAACATTGTGCCCAATTTGCTTATGAAGGCAATTCTGAACACATCGCTGGTAAGTTGCCTGGGCACTCTTGAGTCCAAAGGGCATGGAAACATAGCAGAATGCTCCAAAGGGAGTTATAAAGGCTGTCTTCTCCTGGTCCTTAACTGCCATTTTGATCTGATGATAACCAGAGTAAGCATCCAAAAAACACAAATGGTCACAACCCGCCGTAGCATCAATTATCTGATCAATGCGAGGGAGAGCAAAGGGGTCTGCAGGGCAAACCTTGTTTAAATCTGTGTAGTCCACACACATGCGCCAAGTGTCATTTTTCTTAAGAACCAGCACCGGATTAGCTAACCACTCTGGATGAAAAACTTCAACAATAAACCCAGCAGCCAACAAATGGGCGACCTCTTCACCTATAGCCTTGCGCCTTTCCTCGTTGAAGCGGCAGAGGAACTGTCGGACCGGTTTGAATTTCGGATCAATGTTGAGTGTGTGCTCAGCGAGTTCTCTCGGTACACCTGGCATGTCAGAAGGTTTCCATGCAAAGATGTCCCGATTCTCACGGATGAACTCCATGAGCGCGCTTTCCTATTTGGGATCCAGGTTAGCGCTGATGCTGAACTGTTTGGATGAATCACCAGGGACAAAGTCAACCATCTTAGTGTCTATAGCTGATCTGAACTTCAATGCTGCATCATGTTCCGTGGTTGGCTTTTTTAAGGAGGTCATGTCTGTCGGATCAACTTGCTCCTTATAGAATTTTAACTCCTCCGTGGCACAAACCGACTCAGCATAAGCCGCATCGCCCTCTTCACACTCCAAAGCAATCTTTCTACTTCCATGTACTGTGATAGTCCCCTTATGACTTGGCATTTTAAGCTGTAGGTAAACATAACATGGCCTTGCCATAAACTTAGCATAAACCGGCCGCCCAAACAAGGCGTGGTATGGACTTTTGATCTTCACCACCTCAAATGTGGTTGTTAGACAGTACTCAACACAATTGCCACAAAATATAGAAACTCCAAAATCAATACTATAATTAAGCAATTGTTTTCTTTTAATATCCTTTTCAAATCTCCAATCCACAACGGGTAGATGCACCAGGCTCTATTGCCAAAGAGGTGGATATTTGGGCTTGAGGGATCAATATTGCCAAATTCAATGGGTGACAGAATTTATTTTGTAAGAATTAACAAGAATACCTGATGCGCATTCAAAAAAAAAGGAAGACGGCGATGCGATGCAGATACTCACCTCTACACCCAGAAGTTGAGTATAATAACAACTCTACAACAATAAGTGGCAATAGGCCAACATTCACCAACATGTTGTAAACTGTCCTCAAAAGGAAAGAAAAACACTGCGTTCATGCTCTAGATTAAGTTACATCCGAGACACCAACGTCCAGTTCTTTAGTCTGCTTATTAAGGTTTAGTCGAACCCTGGTACTTCCCCGGGCATCGGAGCAAGCTCGTTCCTCTCAAACCTTCCCTCGTCGAAGAAGGTCGCGTGCACTATGCGTCCGCCAAAGTAGCGCCCTTCCAGTTCAACCAACGCCTTGGTCGAGTCTTCTGTCCTCTCGAACAGCACAAAGATCCTCACTGCTTCGTCCGCGGGGAAGTTTGCCTGGGTGATCTCGAATATCAGCACGCGTAACACAGCCCCAAACTTGGAGCATTCCGAGGCAATCTCGTCTTCCAGCTCGTCGTCAACCTCGCCCGGACCAATCTGCACATGTTTCATGGTGACGATTAACATGTTGCACTAGACAAGAACTCGCACCTTAACCAGAAATAAATCATGTACATGTATTATGAAGCAACATAAAAAAATTATGGTATCATCACTATATCCCAGCATAAGGCCCCAGTTTAAGCAGTCAAAAACAAACATACAGTCAAACAACACAGTAGATCAGTGGGCAAACCCTGATCCCACAGAAGACAACTCTTCATCATGTATGATCAAATACCACTTGACAGATAAAACTATAACTAATCAGAAAACTCACAAAGCCGAATGCATTCTGTGATAAAAAAAACCTAACCTGTTTGACCTATACTTTTGTATCACAACCCTCAGTGGTCAAAACCGGGTAACACCATTGTAGTACCCAAATTCAACAGATTCATCAGGTTTTATGCCCATCGAGTATTCAAGATTATACTAATAAAATAAGCAGTACTGTTTTCCAGAAGTACGCCTTCCAGAATAACACAACATTCAAGTTTAATGATTATATTGCAGAGCTCATATAAACCCACTGGTAGAGAACCAATCATACGCTGAACTTTCTTTACATGGAATTGGACCTTAAGTTCACGTTTTCTATTGAACTAAAAAGCAACCAGCTTATATTGAATAAGACAACAGCAACCTGTAAAGACTAAAATTCTTAGCTGCCTATTAACCAAAATTACCATGCATAAGCTGTCTTTGCTATACAGTGGTTAGATTTGGAAGCTAATGCAGTCAGCAAACTATTTAGTTGCGATTTTGCACTACCTTGTCCACCCCAAGTTCTCTAATAGATATACAAATTACAATTAGCACAAATAGATTCTCAAACTCTATATATTGCTAATCACCCTTCATAATTTTAAGTCTTTACAGTTCATGTGTGTATCAGTATCATCTGAAAATAGATCAAACAATAACCTGTGCACTTCAACCATAACAGAAACAAAAATTTCTGAAATACATATGCTACCTGATACCTGTCTATGTGTTTACTGGACATGCTACTGCAAATTATCACATATCAGTCAGCACCAACAAGGCAATTATGTCACATTAACTACTAAGTTCATTTTGCTAGATGGTATTAGGCTACCAGCACACGAGTAGAGACAATGCTAAAAACTATATGCTCAGAATTGGATGATGATATTCTAGAATAGCCGCTGTCTATGTATGAGAAACCAGTAATAATGATAATAAATCAACAACAGCAGCAGATGTAAGGTTGGCGGTTGCTAAGGTGATATCTAAATTACACAACCAACGAACTTCAGCTTAGATATTCGCATAACAGCATAATACATGTCAGCATATATAAACACACAAGGAAGCATTTTGCAACTCGGTGCCTAAGAGGGGAAAACAGGCATAACACATGAACCACTACTTCATCCTTGTTCATGCAAACCTGAAAATGCTGACAAAATGTGGTACTCTTATTACGCAGAAGTCATGGGAAAATATTTACCATATTGCGCAGAAGCACTACTCTGGTGGGCTGGCCTTCAAAGTTGGCTGATCTGGGCCTCCTGGAACTGCTCTCATCGACAATAACCCCTGCCCTCCGGTCGGTCTTCCTAGCAACCAGAGGCGCTGTGATTCCCTGCTCCTGCTTGCCAAGCCCCTGGCCTTCCTTCCACCCCATCTTGGCCATCATTCTCTGGGCAGCGGTCATCTGGCCGCCAGCTCCCAGGCCCAATCCAGAGGAGGAGGAGCCTGGGATGGAGAAGCCACTGGCATCGCCGTGGGGCGGAGACGAGGCCCTCTGAGGAGTAGCGCCGCCGCCAGCGCCGCTCATGGCTGCCCTCCTCTTCCAGGCCTCCTCGCCGGATATGTTGAGGGAGGAGGCCCTGGACTGCTCCTCGCGGAGGCGGGCCTCGGCCTCCCTCAGCTCGCGCTCCCTCTCCCTCTCCTGGTCCTCGCGGCGCCTCCGGTCGAGCTCCTTCTTCATCTCGGCGTCCTTGGCCCGCTTGAGCTTCTCCTTGCGGTAGTCCTCGTAGTCGTTGGGCCTGGCGGGGTCGTACTCCTCGAGCACGGTGGACTGCACGGCGACGAGGGCGGGGTGGAAGGAGGCCGCGGTGGTGGTGGTGGTGGTGGCGGAGGCGAGGCGGAGGGGGTGCGGCGGCTGCGCGGCGCTGGGCTTGGGAGCGGCGGGGCGGGGGTGCTGGTTCCTGAGGAGGGACGTGGGAGGGGCGAAGGTCGCGGAGGGCTTGCGGAGGGTCGGGGGCGCCATCTTGGTGGCGCTCGACCAGACGGAGGCCGTCGGCTTGTCGTCGTCGCCGGCCGCCGAGGTGGGCGGCGGGAGGTCGCCGTACAGTCCGCCCAGCATCTTCGAAAAAGCAGAGGCCGCACCGGCGGTGGAAATTAAGTCGTCGGGTGGTTGATTCTACCGGAATCAGAGGAACAAGGTGGATGTAGCAACCCACCTCACGATCCGAGAGGCAAACCCTAACCCTAATCGAGTCCACTGGAGCGGATCTCGGTCGGAGCAGGGAGGAAGAAGAAGACTCGCACTATCTTCTCGACTCTCGAGGGAGACAGCCGGCCTTCTCTTGTATGGGCCGAGGCTGTTCGATTGGGCCATTATCAACGTTTTCTCTCTTATTAAGCCCTTTGTCCCAGATTCTAAAGCCCTTTATCCCTAGTCAAGAAATAATACCATTCCCACAAAAAAGAAAAGTCAATAAATAATACCATTCCCTAAAAAAGCCAAGAAATAATACCCTTATACTTCCTCAAAACAATCAATTTACCAAAAGAACCTACTAGTATTAATTTTCTAAATGTTAACAATCCGACATTAGCTTAGAGGCGTTTTTTTGAGCGAATGTGATGTGACACGTTCACGAATCTCAAAGCAAGACACGTGGCAATTTGAGCGAATACATCTAGGATGATAAGTTATGTTTTTAAAAGCATGGCCATTTGTCACCGATTATCTTCGACATAAGCATGACAAAAAAAATATAGTAGCATGGCAATTTCTGAATAAATTGGAAATTTCCTTTTTAGGCTAGCAATTCTCCATGTTGCATCATGAAAAATCCTCGAAAACCCATGACAATTATTCCTCGCAAAATTTTTGCTGGTGTGGCAATTTTTTCTTTACAAGATAGCAATCTTTGTACAAAATAGCATGACAAGCATATCTATTTCAGCAAAACAACTCTCTGAGCGTTTATTGGGAGTGGTTTTTTGATGATACGCTCTCAGATTGCAGCATTCGCTCGGAATAATAGTTTGCTAGGGTGACCTCGTGAACATGAACATAATATTGAGGTCCATTAATTTAGAAAAAATATAAAATCTTTTTTTCACTTTCAGAAAAACAAAGCATTTTTCTTTTCACTTCTAGAAAAACGTAACATTGCGTACGCGACAACCAGGCTCTTTGTATTATTCTTCTATATTGAATACACTGCAATCGATTACAGATTGATTTATACACATCATCCATTCCTCTCTTTTTTTCGACGCCATAAACAGTTGCTCGAGAATTCATAAATAACTTAATCATCATGATTATTGTACAACAGGAACAATGACAGCATCAAACATTGTGGAATCTTTTTTCTTTACTTTCCCTTTCAACCGCTGATTCTTCTACTACTGTTTTCAGGTATTACCATTCTCATATGTACAATTTATCCTGAAAAACAAGAAATGCAAAATTCTGTCAATCATCTGCAGCCAACTCCAGAGGCAGAGATATTTATATACCTAACCTCGCAACAGAAAATCCTGGAGATGCTTAGGGCTGCTGCTCCGACGCCGTCCTCCTTTGGAGGTCAAATTTATGGTTGAATATAATTATGGAATTTTTTCTAAGGGGAAACATGAATTCTTCAATTTCCTTTATTTTTTTCATCACTCTGAACCTCCTTTTAGTAACTGCACAAGAACAAAGCTCAAAACCCCAACCATGTAGTGGATGATGCTCATGTCCACAAGGAACTCATCAAATATCCAATGCAATCATGTCAGAACATACCTTGTACTGGTACTTCTTCCTCAGCCTGACAGCCAGGCGCACGCATCTTTTTACATTGATTTTCAGTATATTGTCGTTGAACATCTGAAGACAAATGGACCAGCTCAGTTCCAAGGAAAATGAAGAGTACATGTATACAGATGCAGTTGCAGTAGATCTAAACTTGACGAAATCGACATGCCATAATCCATCCAATTTCAGCTTGAGAGCAACTTATATACACATATCATACTAAATATAGAATGACTAGCAGCTGTCCTAACTTGCAAATGTTAACCTGCCAAAACTGAAATGTGCAATCCTAACCATAAACTGGAATGCACAAAGTCTGCCACAATTTTTTTTTACTACTAGTTATTTCATGGGCCCAAGGCTTTAAATAACATGAAAAAAGACAGTGACTGGAGATTCGAAACGAGAAAGTAGTGACCGAACTTGCCTTGATAGCATCATCTATTGAGTGAGTATCTCTAATAATCTTGTGTCGATTGATTATCAAGATTGCTGCTACACAGAATATAGGCAGTTCGTCGTCTCCATTCTTTGTCAAGACATTTGTACTCAAATGAGGCATATGTTGATGCCTTGCCCAGATAGTGGCACCTGACAAGCCACACAGGGGATTTCTTGTACTAGATTTCACTCCAGGGTTGCAAGACACGCGGATTTCACCATTTCTACGATGGGATCTCCTACTTTTGGATTTTCTTCTCGTGTACTTGTTCACCCGGGACTCTTCTTTGACCTCACATGAAAAATCATTCTTCACATCCAGTAGCAATGGTTCTAGGCAGTTTGCTTCCAAATTCCTAATTGCATCTTCGTCAAAATCAGCAGCCCACATCATCTGAAGACAGAAAGCACAATTAATTAACCGAACAAGACTATACTATGAAGAGCCTTTAAAATATAATTGTTGATTTATGTGGGTACTTCCCCGTGGTTAGTGTAATGCCAAATAAAAAAATAGTTAGTAGATTCTGCAATGCATGTACACTAACTTAACCATCTTGTCACAATCAACTATTTCAAAGATTTCTCATATAAATTTTGTGGAACACTAGCGACTAAATATCCAAGAAAAAAATCTCTATACGAACTAGAAACCGTCCAAACTAAATCACAAATATCTTTGAAGTGCCTGACAGACCTCCCACATGCTCAGCGACTCCTCAAAAGATAGCTCTCGACGAAAAAGCACTAGCAGCATCCGGAAAGCAAAATGGAGGCTTTCCGCACCAATTGCTGATAAATGCTCAAATAATTCCGTATCGGTCAATTCCATGATCTTCCACAATGCTTCCAACTGCTTCATAACTCCTGTCGGTCCCTCGAGCTGGAAATTTTCACGCTGAGATGCAACAAAATTTATATCATGCATTAAGTCACGCAAAATACCAACCTAACATATGCCAGTATAGTTTGACATAGATGCAAATTACCATCCTTCTCAGTAACATCTCAAAACACCAAAAGGCATCTGCATCATCCTCGTATAGAACAACAAAAGGGGAAAGCAGATCGCTCATACCTACAATCAACTTGTACCATTTAGGCAGTTTAAATAATTGAAGCAAAATGATGTAATGCTCCATTGACAAGCAAACCTTGACAGTATCCAGTGGAAGGATCAACCCATGCATAAACTGCAAGTATATCTGACATTCTCGCCATATTTCTTGATTCTCCATAGAAATCAAGATGGCTATCTGTTCTGACAACATCGACCACTGCATAAGCCATTTTTGGCAATTAGAACACAATATGACAACAATAAGAGGCCTTTGTAGTTGTGTGGTGTGAGGGGGAAAGAACAGGCATACCAATTCTATGCAGTGTCCATAGCCACTCGGCGACTCTGTCTTTGTTTGCGACTGGACTGTCGGATTTGGTTCCGTCAACAAAATCTGCTTCTGGCGCATCAGATATCTTCAAAGAATCTACTATTTCCCTGTTGTAGCCAATGTCATCTAACCATCTATCCTGTTTGAACGCATCAGAGTGAAAGATGGCTGAGTCGCTGTTGCTAGCCCGAAACAGATCACTGGAATTGGACTCCATAATGAGATCTATGTTATTATTGATTTGGAAGCTGTGCATGCGTTCGTCACGTTGTCTTAACCTATCTTCAGGAACTGAGAAACTACAAAGACTTTCGTCAACCCCATTGACATCCCCACCATCATTTGCGAACAAGTTTGTACCAGGCAGGGAGGGATACTCCATGAATGTCTCACTGTCATATCTTGGTTCACCCATGTCATTGTAATCCCCAGAATCTGACAAGCAACTATTCACCACTGTGGAGGACACCATAAATTTGGATGAATTATATACAGGGCTATCATTATGTGTGTTGAAACCAGCTACTTCAGCTGATTTGCTACAGCTTTGTGACTGTGGTGCTCCACCAGAGTCATAATTTAAGTTGGAGTTTTCTACTGTACTGCCAGGTGCATTTTCTGAGTCTCGTTGACTTGTGCTGACTTCTTCTCTACTGTCATTTTCTTTTGGCATAGTCCTGACATCCATCAGCTTTGAGCCAACAGCATACGCAAGCTCACCTGTACCAATGCTTGGGTGCATACTCTTGCATTGCCTAACTAAACATTGATATCTCTCCCTTCATAGAAATAGAAAAAAAATCACTAGGTTAGATGCTTCTGAAAATGCTCTACAGCTCACATGTGTAAAACTATAAGAGGGAAAACATCACAGTAAATTGCAAAAGTAGGAATTTGATCACCCTGCTTGCAACATAGGAATACATAACAAATGCAAAACACAAAATATAAAACATTCCAGCCTCCTAGGTATTAAGAAATATTACTATATAACCAACCAGGGTATAATGTTTGAATGAAAAATCATGTAGAGATACCATATAGATTGAAACTAGGATCCTTGTAGCACTACTAGGAATGGATAACCATTGGTCAATAATGGTTCAGACTTTCAGTTGTTATACATTGGTGGCTCAATAACTGCACATTCAGTTGTTATATACTGGTGGGCGTGAAGCAAGAAAATTAGCTATATTCACCCAAGCTACCTATTCATGTCACTTCGATTCTACATATTTCATTTACCTACTCTCCAGTGTACGCACAAAATATCTTGAGTCATCAAGGGAATGAAGGGCCTAATAGAAGTGCGGAATACAAGGTTAAACCACAAAACTGCAGGTGAGGTGGACTACCAAAGAAAATCCAGTTATCAAGCCAATCATGCTTGTCTCAGCGCTGCGTAAGCGCAAAAGCAGTCAGGGTAGATAACCGGAGGCCACCCCTTGCCCAATTATGACAGTGGCCAGCTATTCTGGGTTTCTGGCAGTCCATCGCTTTATCTGTGCATCCATGGTGAGGAGCTCGGTTGTCACCATGACTGGGTGGTATTAGTCCCTTGGGACTTAAGGGTCTTTGCAACATGGGTGATAGGCTCCTAGATGGCACTGCTGCCCCTCATTGCATACCGCAAGTATGCTCCCGCCAACGGGCTTCCGCCCACTCCCTTCCTGGGTGGCTGTCTCTAGTTCTGCAGCATTGCCTTGCCCCGCCTGTGTTTCACTTCTATTCCCACTTTTTCCCCTTCTCAGCTATCTGTTTCTCCCTCTGTCCTTCTGTTCCCCGCTGTTTTCACTGTTCTTTTATTTCCCCCCGCCGCCTCTGTCTGTGATCCACTGCTATGATCTCCCCAGCCTGCTATGCCTATGCTCTACTGCTATGATCTCCCCAGCCTGCTATGCCTATGCTCTACTGCTATGATCTCCCAAACCTCCTCTGCGTTTGCTCCACTGCCATGATATCCCCAACCTTCTCTAGCTTTATTCTACTGCTAGGATCTCCCCACCTGCTTATCTGCTTTTATCTACTATATAGAAGTGTAGAAGTAGAACTACTTCTCTCCCTAATTGGTGTTGACCTCTCTAATCTATTGTTCAAGACAGCTATTTATGGCCACCTTATGCCACCCAAGGAACAGTCAGGTAACATGATTGCCTAGTCCGCCATGAAAGCCATGGAGCCAATTACATCAAATGCTTTCAAATGAAGGCTGGTTTTAATGCTTCATATGTACTAGAAGATAACAAGGAAAGGATGTGGAGATTTAGCTACAACGGTTCCAATTTCAGTATAATGCATAGATGACCAAATCGAAGCTTGCTACAGCCTATTATTCAAGATAATAAAATGGAAAACAATCACGTTTCTAAACATAAGGTAGCATCGTATGGAAAACAGAAAAAAGGGATCAAACCTTCGAGCGGCTCTTAGTTTCCTCCTATACTCTGTTGTGCTACTTAAGGCATAGCACCCAAGAAGAAACTCCCAAACTTCTGCTCGAATAGAGGGATCCATGCCCTGCACATCAATAATAGAGGTAAATGGTTGCTTTAAGAGCAGAAAACCAATGTGTTCTGTGCTTAAATTATTAACAGTTGTAGGCAGTCCATTTGGTTATTTATGAAAAAAAATCCTACTACACAAAGATTAATAGCAGTGCATCACAGGAGTTGCTTCGAAGGAACATGATTCTTTTTCCCCATTGTTTACATCAAAGGACAGCACTAGCCCAAGAAAGTAATCTGATTCATTCATCTCATGGTGTAAATTTAACAATCAGCTAGAGTAATCAGATCGGCATTTAAGGGAAAATTACTACAATGAGCATAGTTAATCTAAATTTCTGATAAGGAGATGAATGGTGCATCTAATGTCAAATGAACTGTCTAAGGTGCGGTCAACGTATGAAGTAACTGATATTTCCTGGGTTCTGATACAGAATACAGCTTTAATATAATTTTCCTGGGGCATAATAAAGCATCGCAACACGATTTCTTATCATGCATTGAAGGTGATGCCTGAAGGCTCGTAAAAGGAATAACAGACATGTCTACAAGGAGATGAAAACTAAGTCTTTGAAGCACTAAAGGAATACTACGAGTCCACTCACCCCTAAGACAATGAACTTGAGGGCCTTACGGAAGCCGATGACCTTTCCGTCGGTGTCGAAACACGCGTTCCATTTCTCTGGCCTGAGCATTTTGCCCCCCTGTAGAATCGCAGATAGAGTTAGAAAGAAAGAATGCAAAACATGACTACATGAGTCGTGGCAAAAAAGCTGAATATGAATCAAGCTGCGCACAGCTGACAATGCCATAGAGACTCTGGTTCTGGTGCGGTAGCCGGTAGGTATCGATACAGAGTCTATGCAGTATGCTGTGTGCTTGCGCCGACTGCAAAGAAGAGTGCCTAAGCTATATTTAGAGGAGTGGCGATGCTTAGCATTGACAATGAGGATTGGTCATCCTGACGGCATTGGCGTACAGGCGACAGGGAGATGTGTAGTTGAAGGAGGAGGCGGAAGGGGACCTTGAGGTAGTAGGGGTCCGGGTTGAGGCCGCAGGGCTCGCGGACGAGGGAGCCGAAGCTGCGCTGCAGGTTGCCGCACATGATCCATGACTTGATGTAGTCCCCTCCCCCGCCCGCGCCTGAGACCGCCCCGCCGTTCCCGGTGCTGCGCCTGTGCGGCTGGGACATGGATCCTCCGCCCCCTTCCCCTCCTCCCCTCCTCTGTACGGCGGCGCGGCAGGGGCGAGGGGAATCCGGATCTCCGGCGCGCGCGAATCGCAAGAATCGCCGGCGGGGGATCCGAATCGCCGACCTTGCTGCCTGCTGGAGCAGAGTCGAGTCGAGTCGACGGCTCAGCTCCCCTCCGCCCCGCCCCGCTCCTGGCCTTAGGCAATGGATGGAGTAGGTAGGGTTCTCTCTGGGTCTCGTCGGCGAGTCAGGGATCCGCCGCCTGTGGCTGGCTTTCTTTTCCGGCTTGGTCTCCGTCCGTCGGTCTCGGGCTCTCGGCGCCGCGGTTGCTTGGCTCGAGGAGTCGTGGGTGGGAGAGGGGAGGGGAGGGGGGTGGAAGCAACGAACCAACCTAACTGCAACTGCTCATCATTCGTCTCCTCTCCTCTTCTCACTCGCTTCCTCGCTTTCCTACCTTGTCTACGTGCCAACGACCCAAGAAAATGAGTGCCACCAAGAACAAAAAATGGAAACTGAATTTCTCCATCACTTATTATTTTTTATTTTCCTATTAGTATTACTTTACTTTATTTATTATTAGTAATTCGTTTTATTTATTACGTATTACACTGCAAATTGAGAAAAAAAAACGCTGATATTATTATTTTTCCTTACTATTATGTCACCGAGCCTACAAACAAAACAATTAAATTACAAACAGCATCGAACCTCGAGATAACCCCAGCTCAGAAAAAACACCAAACACAAACATTTTCAAATTTCAATGTACACAGGCTGCCTGATTTCTGCTTTGAGCGAGTGAGTGAGCGTTGCTCATCCAAAAAAGAGATGTAATTGTTTCCTTACAACCATGCGTGTCATCATCATATCAATCAATACCAACAAAATGTGAGCGACGGGCGTAGGTCAACCGTTCGTTCGTTTCCATGCCGCCTTATTCTTATTCGGTTCGACGGAGAGGAAGACGGAGCAGAAAAGCTTCTTCGCCAAGCGTGGAAATGGTCCTCACGCTTCGGCCTCCATCTTCTCGCACTCTTCTCTGATGGACTGGAACAGGACTGATGACAGGTACCTCTCGCCGAAGCTCGGGAACACCACCTGTTTGTTGCGCACACAAAGCAAACAACAATGTCAGCGTCGATCGCCATTGGATGTTTTCAAGAGAAGAATTCTATGAGCTAGAATTATGTGTTGTTGTAAGATTAGCGGTATTTACCACTATCAGCTTCCCTGCGTTCTCTGGTCTCTGGGCAACCTTTATGGCAGCGGCCGCGGCTGCCCCAGATGAGATCCCGACCTGCACAACATACATTCGTATATAGGTTCAGGTTTGCTGATCTCTGATTCATAGACGACTGACGGGTGGGAGAAACAAAAAATGCAGGATCCTACTACTACTCGTACTTATTAACCACTGCATATGAGAAACAGAACAGCCAAACATATATGAACAGATGGTTCATGATTTTCGCAACAATGAGATTATGTGGTGGTCTCCTACACCCTGGCCCCACATGAGATTATGTGGATGCGATGCAACAACAAAACAACATCAACAACTGTCCTTCTGAGGTACCACCTGCCCACCGGCTAACCTCCTCCTCCTCCTCATGCACAGTAGTACTGAAACTGTACCTCATGTACTCAGTTTTAGTTCTACTGAGCCTAAAACCTTTTGATTACAAAGTCTGTCTCCACAACTCTAACTGGCACTATGATGCACCATAGAAAATTTGTACTGGGATGCATCGTACATTTAGCAACGCTATGATGGGAGAAATGAACAGATAAACTGGCTCAAACATGTTGCCTACCAGAAACCCACTATTTCTAGTCTAGATCTACAGAGAAGACCGCCAGGTGCTTACACTTAAATAGCAAGCAAGGGAAAAAACAGAGTAGCATGATGCGAGTCATGATTCGCCTGCTTTTTTAAGCATATGAACGTTTGCAACTAGAGGACGATATCTCAAAAAGAACGCCGGATCAATGTATGGAACACAGAAAAATTGCATCAACATGTGAAATTACAATACCAGCAATCCTTCCTGAAGAGCCAACTGCTTTGCTGTCTCAACAGCCTCATCGCTTGATATCTAGAACATAAGCAGAACGTGTGGTTAGATATAACTATAAGAAAAGAAATCCCTGCAGTAATAGTCCTAAGAAAGTAGTACCACACAACCCTAACATTTGCATTGTACCAAGCAGAGCAAAAGGAGGGATGATCCACTCATGCAAGGACAACATCCACATGACTGAAGACGTAACCACAATAGAACTAGCATATGGAATGTACTTGTATAACTACATAGAACTAGCATAACAGAACTATCAGCCTATGGTGAGACGTTAAGAAAATACAGTGAAATGGAATAACTGGCACAGTTCAGCTGAATTCAAGAAAGAAATTACAACCTTCATGTCTTTCTTTTATTCTAAAAAAGGTGAAACATACTGACGGATAGGAAAAACTCTGACCTCAATTACTTCATTGAGAACATCACTGTCCAAATTCCTAGGAACAAATCCTGCTCCAATGCCTTGAATCTTATGTGGGCCTACACAAGCGGATAACAGTTATAAGGCAAAGAACATAAGTTTGACAAGCTCAAAGGAAGTATGTCTTTTTTTTAAAGGAAAACTGAAAGGAAGTCTTTTTCTGATAGCAAACATACCAGGTTTACCACCAGAGAGGATGTTACTTTCAGTAGGTTCAACACCAATAACCTAGAAAAAGATAACAGTATGAGCACTATAGAGTACTTTTTTGAGAATATAACAGGGAACATTTTATTTGGGTGGAATTTGAAGAAACCTTGACGTCGGGATTTTTCTCCTTCAGGAAACGACCAGCACCAGATATTGTTCCGCCCGTTCCGATTCCACCAATGAATATATCTACCTTCCCTTTTGAATCCTCCCAGATTTCTGGCCCAGTAGTCTCATAATGTACCTGATTGAAAATCAATAAAGATAAACATCAGCCTCAAGTAGGTTAGAAGTAATAGCGCACACTCACATAGAGTAGAAACACATGGCTACTTCTCTTTGTTACCTTTGGGTTGGCAGGGTTGTCAAACTGCTCAAGCATATATGAATTGGGTGTCTTATTCAAGATCTCTGTAGCTTTATCTAGGGCCCCTTTCATCCCTTTTGCAGCATCTGTGAGCACAAGTTCAGCGCCAAAAGCCTTGAGTAGAACTCTCCTCTCCATGCTCATAGATGTGGGCATTGTCAGTATCAACTTATATCCCCTGGAAGCAGCAATGAACGCAAGACCAATGCCTGTGTTTCCACTTGTTGCTTCCACCAAAACACTCTGAGAGCAGAGAACATTAGTTATATATGCTTGTTACTGAATACCCTTTCCTTGTTGATAACTGTTAGAAAGGGGTAAACCATGATAAAGGAGCCCGCGAGTGCATATGCACACAAACAGAAGATGCCTCACCTTTCCGGGTGTTATCAAACCCTTCTCCTCAGCGTCGGATATCATACTGATACCTATCCTGAAGCATAAATCGGTTGGGAGCTGCTTAGCTGGTCGGTCCATCAGGGGAAGAAAACGACCTCAACACTGAACTGAGGAGGACAATAAGAATTCTAATGTAACCTGTCCTTGACACTGCAGCAGGGCTCCATAATCTCGAGCTTGGCGGCGACGTTGGCGACGCAGCCCTTGACGATCTTGTTGAGATACACCATGGGCGTCTTGCCGATGAGCTGCCATCAAATTCAACAACAAACAAAAAAAAATCCTGAGACGGGTGCTTAAATTCCGACGGATGATGTTTTGTCTTGTTGCTAAAGAATTCGTCCGTGTGAAACTAGGATGATTGAGATATGATGAACGAAGGATGTCGCAGGGTCAAACTAGATCTTTACTAGTTCAGGCTTTGTGGCATCAGTAAGCTAAAGCTCTAGGTAGCAGCAATCCTACCAACCCCGCTACTCCTGACTGGGCACACACTGGAAATGGAGTGATTGAACTGGAGGCAGTGGACAGACGGTGGTCGGTTACCTGCGTGACGTCGTCGGCGATGTTGAGGCCCTCGACCTCGGTCGCGAGGGCATGGCGCCTCCACGAGGGGGCGGGGGCGGGGGCGTTGACGGCGAGGAGGGAGGAGCCGGGGAACCTGCGGGCGAGAGGCGGCAGGGCGACGGCCTGCCGCGCCTGCGCCGGCCGGGCGGCCGAGAAGCCGAATTGGGCCTGGGAGGCGGCGGCGGCGACGGGCGATGGTGTCCACGGCGCCATTCTCCCTTGCTGCCTTTCCCCTCGGATTCTTGCTTCGCTGGGTTTTGTCTGATGGTGCCGTCTGCCTTCTGGGAGTCCGAGGGGATGGAATGGATGGATGGATGGATGCTGGATCGAATATGGGCCTCTTTTCGTTGCGATGGAGGGTTGGATGGAGAGTGAAGTGCACCACAGGTCCTCGAACCATTTCAGCAGTATCACGTAGGTCCTCAAACTATAAAAATCATCATCCGGGTCCTCAAAATGCAATAGGTGTGCTATCATGGTCCTCAAACTATTTCAAAGGTGTTAAGTAGGTCCTTGAACTATTTCAGAGCTGTCACATATACGCACACTTATTACACTTTAAGGAATTTTTAGGACCTAAATGACACTTTTCATAGTTTGAGGACCTACGTGACACCATCGAAGTAATTCGAGGACCTAAGATGCACTTCACTCTTGGATGGATGGATGGATGGATTCGGACCTGGAGATGGTGTTAGTGCATTCGTTCATCGGCCATCACACACCAGATATCTCTTCTCTGCTAATTCCAAAACACACACTTTTTTTGTCTTACATTTTAAGCACAAAAAAGTATGGTCCGAGGATGATCCGCCACACTGGGACTAAGACCCGGCCCTGCTCCGGTTTGAAGCGTGGGCATTCATATTCGACGCTACTGAAATTTGTAAAACCGTTTATATTGAGACATAGCCTGGTTTTGAATAGCGGTTTTGCCTCTCCTTTTTGCAAGTTCTACAAATACGCGCGGGCATTTGTAGATTTAGGACATGTTTGGAAATTATGGCATGCAAAATTTCAGCACAATAGTACGGGTATTTGTTTCACGTGCAACAATGGAAAATGATAGATATTCTTGTACCCAAGATAAATTTAGGGTTTGAAGATAAATTCTCCTTGTTCTTATACAAAGATAGATTGCAATATTTTCTTTATGAATTTGTATGTTTCTTAATTAATTAACTACATGTGTTTGTGTTTTCTCTATTTATTTTCAAGTTGTAGTTACCCTCTGTGACTGGTTTATTTTTTGCTCCTATATTTCAAAAAATGAAACAATTCACATGTGTCGAGATTGTTGGTGCAGTGACGTGTGCTCCATAAATAACGCAAAAGATAAGAGAGCTCTGTTGTTGCTTTTTAAACGTGGTATAAACGGTCATATGTGGGAATGAACAACGGTCATATGTGGGAATGAACTATGGGTTACATTTCATCAAGTTTGCTAAAGTTTTATAATTTTCTTGAAACATAAAAAAACTATTTTTGAAATTGGTTAGGGTTTTAATTTATATGATTTTCTGAAGTTTGTGGTTTAATTTAGAGAGTCATATTGTTCAAGGCTCAAGCCGCACCAAGCACTACAGTTCGGCATTTAGAAAAAACTCTTGTTTTTAAGCCACTCGCGTTTATTTTGACGGTCAAAGGTTGAACTTGTTACCTGATACGTCTCCAATGTATCTGTAATTTTTGATTGTTCCATGCTATTATATTATCAATCTTGGATGCTTATATACATTTTTATATAATTTTATATCAGTTTTTAGGAACTAACCTATTAACCCAGTGCCTAGCGTCAGTTGCTGTTTTCTGCTTGTTTTTTGGTTTCCTAGAAAATCAGTACCAAACGGAATCCAAACGCTACAAAGCTTTTTGACGATTTTTTTTTGGACAAGAGAAACCCTAGAAGCTTCAGGAGGAGACCAGATAACGAACGAGGAGACGACAAGGCCTTGTGGGCCCTCGAGGCTCCATCTGACCTAATTCCACTTCTATAAATTCTCAAATATTGGTAAACCCCCAGAGAGCCATCCGAAACACTTTTTTCCGCCGTTGCAAGCTTCTGTTCTTTCACGATCCCATCTAGAGGCCTTTTCGGTACTCTGTCGGAGGGGAAACCGATGACGGAGAGCTTCTACATCACACTTGTTGTCTTCCAATGATGTGTGAGTAGTTCATCACAGACCTACGTGTCCATAGCTAGTAGCTAGATGGCTTCTTCTCTCTTTTTGATCTTCAATACAATGTTTGAAGGAAATATGCCCTGGAGGCAATAATAAAGTTGTTATTTATATTTCCTTATATCATGATAAATGTTTATTATTTATGCTAGAATTGTATTAATCGAAAACTTAGTACATGTGTGAATACATAGACAAACATAGTGTCCCTAGTATGCCTCTACTTGACTAGCTCGTTAATCAAAGATGGTTAAGTTTCCTGACCATAGACATGTGTTGTCATTTGATGAACGAGATCACATCATTAGAGAATGATGTGATGGACAAGACTCATCCGTTAGCTTAGCATTATGATCGTTTAGTTTTATTGCTATTGCTTTCTTCATGACTAATACATATTCCTCTAACTATGAGATTATGCAACTCCCGAATACCGGAGGAACACTTTGCGTGCTATCAAACATCACAATGTAACTGGGTGATTATAAAGATGATCTACAGGTGTCTTTGATGGTGTTTGTTGAGTTGGCATAGATCGAGATTAGGATTTGTCACTCCGAGTATCGGAGAGGTATCTCTGGGCCCTCTCGGTAATGCACATCACTATAAGCCTTGCAAACAATGTGACTAATGAGTTAGTTACAGGATGATGCATTACGGAACGAGTAAAGAGACTTACCGGTAACGAGATTGAACTAGGTATGATGATACCAACGATCGAATCTCGGGCAAGTAACATACCGATGACAAAAGGAATAACGTATGTTGTTATGCGGTTTGACCGATAAAGATCTTCGTAGAATATGTAGGAGCCAATATGAGCATCCAGGTTCCACTATTGGTTATTGACCGGAGATGTGTCTTAGTCATGTCTACATAGTTCTCGAATCCGTAGGGTCCGCACCCTTAACGTTCGATGACAATTTGTATTATGAGTTATGTGATTTGATGACCGAAGTTTATTCAGAGTCCCGGATGAGATCATGGACATGACAAGGAGTCTCAAAATGGTCGAGAGGTAAAGATCGATATATTGGAAGGTTATATTCGGACACCGGAATGGTTCCGAAGTGATTCGGGTATTTTCCGGAGTACCGGGAGGTTACCGGAACCCTCTCCTCCCTCCCCGGGGGGAAGTATTGGGCCTTAATGGGCTTTAGTGGAAAGGAGAGAAGGGACACAAGGGGTGGCCACCCCCATGGCAAGTCCAAATTGGACTAGGGAGGGGCGGCGCCCACCTCTTTCCTTCTCCTTCCCTCTCTTCCCCTCTTGGAAAAGGAAGGGGGCTCCAACTAGGATTGGGAATCCTAGTTGGACTCCCCTATGGCACGCGCCCCCTTGGCCGGCCTCCTCCTTCCCTCTCCTTTATATACGTGGGCAGGGGGCACCGCAAAGCAGAACAGATAATCTCTTAGCCGTGTGCGGTGCCCCCCTCCACATTTCAACACCTCGGTCATATCGTCGTAGTGCTTACGCGAAGCCCTGTGCCGGTAACTTCATCATCACCATCGCCACGCCATCGTGCTGTCGGAACTCTCCCTCATCCTCAACTGGATCAAGATCTCAAGGGACGTCATCGTGTTGAATGTGTGCTGAACACGGATGTGTCGTACGTTCGGTACTTGGATCGGTTGGATCGTGAAGACGTTCGACTACATCAACCGCGTTACTAAACGCTTCCGCTCTCGGTCTACGAGGGTACATGGACACACTCTCCCCTCTCGTTGCTATGCATCTCCAAGTTAGATCTTGCGTGATCGTAGGAATTTTTTTGAATTACTACGTTCCCCAACAGTGGCATCTGAGCCAGGTCTATGCGTAGATGTTATATGCACGAGTAGACCACAAAGAGTTGTGGGCGATAATAGTCATACTGCTTACCACCAACATCTTACTTTGATTCGGTGGTATTGTTGGATGAAGCGGCCCGGACCGACATTACATGAGCGCGTTCATGAGACTGGTTCTACCGACGTGCTTCGCACACAGGTGGCTGGCAGGTGTTTATTTCTCTAACTTTAGTTGAATTGAGTTTGACTACGGTCAGTCCTTGTTGAAGGTTAAAACAGCACACTTGATGAAAAATCATTGTGGTTTTGATGCGTAGGTAAGAACGGTTCTTGCTAGAAGCCCGTAGCAGCCACGTAAAACTTGCAACAACAAAGTAGAGGACGTCTAACTTGTTTTTGCAGGGCATGTTGTGATGTGATATGGTCAAAACATGATGAGATATAAATTGTTGTATGAGATGATCATGTTTTGTAAAAGTTATCGGCAACTGGCAGGAGCCTTATGGTTGTCGCTTTATTGTATGAAATGCAATCGTCATGTAATTGCTTTGCTTTATCACTAAGCGGCAGCGATAGTCATAGAAGCAATAGTTGGTGAGACGAGAACGATGCTACGATGGAGATCAAGGTGTCAAGCCGGTGACAATGGAGATCATGACAGTGCTTTGGAGATGGAGATCAAAGGCATAAGAT